CAGGATGGGGGAGCTCAGGGTTCCCGATCCGTGACCTCGGGCTGGGGGAGGGGTCAGGGCTCCTGCTCACTGGCCTCGGGCTGGGGTGGTATCTGGATGGGCCCAGTGTTGTCTGGAGGGCTGAGGGCACTGAGCAGGCAGGCAGCGGAGGAAGGCAGCACAGCATGGACGTGGGGAGGGCCTGAGTCAGCAGCGCAGGCAACTCCTAGAAGCTAGGGAAGGAGGGAACTCAGAAGGAACAGGCCTTGTTGACTAGCCCGGTGAGGCTCGTTTGAGATAAGTTCATTCTGTCTCCAGCACGAAGTTCACGGCAGCTGCAGCAGCAGGAGCTGAAGGCAGAGTTTGGTTCTAGGCGTGAGGTGCTGCTGGAGCAAACACCTAGAAAGGTGGAGGTGGCTTTGGAATTGGGCAGAAGCTGGAAGAATTTCGAAGGTGATAGAGAAAGCCCACGATGCCCTTAAACCGGTGGCAGTAGAAGGATGGGGGTGAGTGTGGCTCGAGGGGCTGGGAGATTGCGCTCCGGGAAGAGTCAGAGCTGCTGTGCACCGCCCTTCTGAGACACAGCAGGGTTAACGGTGCAGGCGGGAGCTCAGAAAGGAAGGAGCAGGGGCCAGGGAGAGCCTGGTCCGTGGGGGAGAGGCGCAGCTGCACTTGTGTGGGCGGTCAGCCTGCATGGAAGGCGCTGGAGTGCAGCCGGGCCCCTCCCTTCACTGCTGAGAGGGAGCCTTGAGCAAAGGAAGACGGTAATAGGTGAGCACCCTGCCTTCGGGAATTCTCAGCTAAAGACGCTGACGGAACGTGTGCTTGGAGCTCCTGAGGAGAGCGAGCCTGTGGCTCGTGGGTGCCCCAGGTCACCCGAGCAGACGCCGAAAGCAGGGATGGCTGTGGGAGGACCTGCCATGGGCCCAGCCCTTCACTTGTTGGGTGAAGCTCCGTGAGAACCATGAGGGGATTTACACCATCAAAAACTCACTTGGCTTGGATTGAGGCGGGGGGTTTTATGAGAGGCTCCTGGGCCCCCAAAAATGATCGGGGAGGAAGCAGACTAAACTGTTGAGCTGCAAACACTTGCCACGTCTCATAAAAAGACAGCGTGGTCTCGAGGTGCAGCAGGGCCTGGGACCCACTGAGGGAGGTCCCAGGCCTGGCTGGGACCTGAAGGAGTGTGCCCAGCTGGATTTTGGATTTCTTGGGAGCAGTGACACGGGCACCCTGCAGTTTTCTGCGTGAGTCACGTCCATACGTACATATACAGGAATGACCGGGTCTCACCGTCACCCAAACTGGAGCGCTGGACGATCCTAGCTCACTGCAGCCTCAGACTTCTGGGCTCAAGCGATCCTCCCCCTTCAGCCTCCCGAGTAGCCAGGGCCACAGCTGCGAGCCTACACCTGGCTGATTTTGAAATATTCTGTAGAGGTGAAGATTCACTACCCAGGCTGGTCTTGAACCCCTGGGCTCAGGTGATCCTCCTGCCTCTCAGCCTCCCAAAGTGCTGGGCCCCCACACCTAGCCAGACTTTCTTTGGAACAGGGATGTCAGTGACTGGCATTCTGCATCTGTCCTCCGGTGGTATTTTGGGAGCAGGTAACTGGTTTTCTAGCTTTAGGGGTCCACAGATAGAGGGAAATTGCCCCAGGGTGCAATGCCCAGAGTCTCACCCATACCTGATCAGGGTGGCTTAAAGGGTGTGACTTGGGACTTGGGAGCTGATGAGATGTACATGAGGTTTGGGACTGGAGTGGGTGCTGTGTTCAGTGGAGACTGTTGGGGCCGCGAGAGGAAGGGTGCATTGGCACATGGGATGCGTGGGAAGCAGCGGGGGCAGGAGGGTGGGCTGTGGTCAGCATAAGGAGTCCCTCACCGCCGGGTCTGTGTATACCCTAGTCCCGTGGGAGTGAACCTGCCACCCAGCACAGCAAAGGGGAATGAAAGCAGCAGATGGGATTAAGGGTGCCAGTGACCTTGAGAGGCAGGGATGGTCTGGGCCTAGTGAGAGCCAGAGAGGCCTTCGTTGTGGAAGCTGGAAGCTGGCTGGGGCGCGTGGACACAGCCATGAGGGGGCTCCACCCACACACTCCTGGCTGCAAAGGTAGAGACCCCGGGCCATGGGATGCAGGCGGCCACAGACTCTCCCCTGGGGCCTCCAGGAGGCACACACCTTGATTCTAGAGCAGGGAGACCCCTTGAGTGAGGCCTGCCCAGTACTTGACTCAAGCTGGGAGGTATTGGTGTCTGAAGCTTCGTAGTCTGTGGTAACTTAACTGTGGTGGTGATAGGAAACCATAGGAGGTAATACACATACCAAGCGGGCCAAAGCGTTCTCACGGGGTCCTGGGGGGTGGGGCACAGAGGGCAACTCCACAGCACGAGACGCCCAGTGTAGATTGTAGCCCAGTGGGCCCGGCCGGCATGCAGGTGGCCCTTCAGGTCATGTTCCCTGCATGTCTGTCAGGCCCTCCCCCCTCACCGCCAGCAGGCTCCGCTGCCTGGAAGGTCGCTGCTGGCTCTTCCTCCTGTTGCTGCCCTCCTCCTCCTCCTCCTCCTCTCTGGCTCTCTGCTGTCCCGACCCCTTGCCGAATCACACCTGGGGTGGATCCAGGGAAGGGAAACTGAACTGGGAGAAGTCACTGGAGTGAGTGAGAGGGGCTGGATGTGGCCTGGGGTGAGGGCAGAAGGCCTGGACACTACGCCACTGGAGGGCGGGAGGCAGGGCCAGGCCTGGGTGAGCTCGCGGATAGGGGTGGGAGCAGGGCAGCTGGAACGCCACACCCTGAGGCAGCATGTGGGCATCAGCCGCCTCCTGCAAGCTCTGAGGCTTCGTCGCACCAGGATTGTTCCGTCTTACAGATTAGGAGGCCGGGGCTCTGCGCCTGTGCCCTCCGTGACTGTGGGGAAAGCTCAGGGCAGGCTCAGAGCTAGGCCGGGGCTGCTGTGTGCAGGTGCCTTCCCGGAGCACCCACCTCCCACCTGCTGGCATTGAGTCCTGTGTGGGAGCTGGGCCTGCTGTTGTCCCCCACCACCCACCCGCCATCCTATGGTGGGCTCGCCAGTTGGTTCATCACCAGGGCCCACCTTTCAGGCCAGGCAGTGGCAGGCTCTGACCCCAAACGTGCCTCAGATTATCAGCCTGAGAGCCTAGGACTGGGACTGAGAAACTGTCCTCTCACTGGGCGGGCTGACCCACAGCCATATCCCTTTTTTTCCAATCTCCACTTTAACTTCTTCGTGGAAATGACGTGAGGACCAGCTGGTGTAGAGTGGGACTCCTCTGCCACGTCAGAAGTCCTGCCGTATTTGTTTTCATTTTTTATACAAATACCAACAGATTCTGGCTTAGCTTGCTTTGGGTCCTGTTATTTACAACCAAGAGAGGTTGGTGTCAGCATGGGCTGCAGGGCGCAGCCCTTCCTGAGCACAGCGGGAAGCGGGCAGGGCTCTTGGACACACTTTCCTTTTGGGCCTCCAGCCACATGCCTGAGAAGGCTGACTTCACACGCGAAGGTTGGGCGGAGGCCCAGGAGTGTGTGTCAGCTGCTCCCAGAGACGCACGTGGAGGACACAGGTCAGAAGGCTTCCGGTCCGGGCCAGCAGCCTGCGCCCCACTGTCTTGTGCTGCACTGAACCAGGCAGCCATGTTCCTTTTCTCAACCTGTTTCTTAAGGTGAGATGTACCTGGACACGGTGATCCAGGGACTGGAATGCAGCCCGATTCCCTGGGGCCCTCCCAAGTGCCTTCTCTTCAGGGCACCCACCTGTGAGCCACTTGGCAGTCCAGGGTCAGGCAGAGGAGGACGGCCCAGCTTCCCCGTGTCCTGGGCTCTGAGCAGAGCCCTGAGCTAATGAAGCCTGACAAACATGGGGGCCCCCGGCTCCCTCCAGAGAGATGGGCACAGGCACAGCTTGAAGTTCAGGGCAGGGGTTGTCACCTAGTGGTGATTCTGTCCCCCACCAAGAGACTCTGTCAATGTCTGGGAACTTTTTGTCACAGTGGAGATGGGGCAGCTATAGCTTCTGTTGGACGAGACCAGGGATGTGGCCCCCACCCCAGTGTCATCCCACCGCAGCCACTGCTTGGAGCACCTGCTCCAGTGATAGACAGTGGGGTGCTGTCCGGCCACACTGAGTCCTTCACACAGGAGGGGAGTGGGCGTGGGCCTCCCAGGTCAGCTCTGTGGATGCTACTCTCTGCCCAGACCCCGCTGAGGCCTGCTCCTGGCCTCCAGGCTGCAGTGGACTCCCGGCCACTGGCCTCACGGCGTGGGCCTGGACCTGCCCTTCTGCTGCAGCACCAGATGGGCAGCTAGGCCAGGGCGTTGTGCCAGTGGAGCCCACGGCCCTGGCTGTCCTCTGTGGCAGGCATGGCTGGACCATCCTGCTCTAGCTCCAAGGGCTATACCTATCCTGGGCCCTTGCTCCCAAGGCTGGGTCATGGCATCCCATCCGGATTCTTCCCAAGTGAGGAGGGGAAGAAGGCTCCTTCTCCAGGAAAAGGCCCAGGCCCAGGCTGGCCCGTGCAGGCCTCGCGGTGGTGGCAGAGGAGCTGTGCAAAGAGCGGTCCTCCCCAGCCCTCGACAGGAGCGCAGCTCAGGCTGGGGCAGCCTTAGGGATGGCCCCCACATCAGAAGTGACCTCTGACCCTGGCTGCCCGGACCCTCGCCCTCTTCAGCTGGGCAGATGGAAGCTGCGTTCACACTGGCACAGCCCAAGGGCCGCAAGCGGGGAAGGGGAAGCTGTCCCGGCTGTCCCGGAGCCCTGCGCGCCCGCCCTGCCCGGATGAAGAGCTGCGTCGGTGTCTTTGCGCAAGGGATTTATTGTTCCGGAGCTGTGGCTGCTCACAGTATGTGACAGGGGTACACTGCAGGCGCGTGCCCGTTTCCGTGGTGCCTGCTGGAGTCCGCATGTGTCCGAAGCACAGAGGCAGAAGGCGGGCGAGAGGCTCTGCTTCGTGTCCTTGTCTCCGTGGAGAGCCCTTTCCGCCTGTGCCGCCTGGCGTTTGCTGTCCTATATGACTTTGTTCTTATGTGTAGAAATCCCAGCCTGTGGCAGAGGTCTGATGTTAACAGAAGCGTTAAAATTGATACATGAGGTGGATGCGAGGCAGGGGCACCGAAGCAGATGGACCCTGTGGCAAAGGCATGCATCAGAACGCCACCGCCCTCCCAGCCGCTGCACCCGGGCACTGTGCCCACCTGGGGAGCCAGGCACACGGGAACACAGAAGCCTGAGCTGGGGTGAAGCGAGGGTGGCAGGCACCGAGCGGGACGGGCCTGCAGCCCCCACCCCCCTGCACTGCACAGAACACCCTGCAGAGGAGCGCCACTGGCCCTTTCTGTCCTTCGGTTGCTTTCAACTTTTTTTCGTTTTAATAAGAAAAGCCCCCGGCGCCCCTGCTGCCCTGTGCGTGGGGAGGGCCCTTGAGGGCCTTTCTCCTACTCCTTCACCCTTGGACACAAAGCCGAGACTGTCCCAGCCTGGGTCTTGACGAGGGCATGGGCACTGCCGCCCGCCGTGAGATGCCCTGAGCCCCCCCCGAGGTGGAGCCGCCTCTCCACGTTGAGAAGCAGAACCCAGGACAGATCGAACCGCGCCATCTTTAGCTAGATGAGTGTGCAAAAACTGGGAGCCTGAGCTGAAACAAAACCTGGCCCTGCCCTGCCCTGGCCCTGCCCCTGCGGCGCCCCACCCCCACACCCTTTTCCAAAAACCACCAAGAAAAAAAAGTTTATAAAAATATCTTGCAGGAATTCTTTAAAGTTTACAGTAGCTCGCCAGCCCCCCGCACCCCGCCGGCTCTTGTCCTCAGAGGGCGCCCGGGCCCTGGACCCCCCACTGCCCGAGACGCGCAGACGGCAGGGGATGCGGCTGCCGCCCTTCCCTGAACAGAGGTGTAGAGACTCCATAAATTAAAACAGCAAATAAATAACACTGATCCCAGCCCAGCGGCCTGGCCGGCCAGGAAGGCTCTGACGCCCCACGGTCTCTCTGTTTCCACCTCAGCCAGGGAGGAGCGCCAGAGCCCACGGCCGCCCCAGAGGAGGCGACGGAGGCATGGGTGAGACGGGAGGACGGGAGGCAGCCCGGGGAGGCCAAGACTATAGGAGGCGGCGCAGCCAGGGAGGCGTGAGGCGGCCTCCGAGTGCGGCGTGGAGGCGGCGGACGGGTCTGTTCCTGCAGCTACTTTGCCCGCCGGGGGGTCCCGGCCCCAAAAGGCTTCCAGGCAGGCTGTTCTTGCTGAGGGGTCAGGTGACTGGGTGACCAGGAGTCTGGCCGGGCTGGAGGAGGCTCCCCCGAGCCTGGCCCTCCTACCATGGGCCGTGCGGAGCTGAGGCGAGGAGCTGCCTCGGGGTGGACGGGGCGCTGGGCTGGGCCTCGCTGCCCGGCAGCAACAGCAGGAGCGGAGGGAGGGCGGGTCCGCAGCAGCTGCCTTCGGTCACAGAGGATGGCCTCGTGGAGGTGACATGTTAACTTTTCGGGATAATTCCTGGTATCAGAGTGGAAACAAGTGATGCCGTCAGAGACAGGCAGAGACAGAGACAGGAGAGAGAAAAGAGAGCGGGCGCGGGTGGCGGAGCCCACAGGCCGGCCCCGGCGCCCCTTTCCTTTCCTCCCAGGCTCTGAGAACAGTCTGGACGGGCGGGCGGGCGGCCGCGGGTCCACTCGGGGCAGGGCGGGCGGCGGGCGGCGGGGCAGCCGCCGTCAGTGCTGTGCTGGGGGGGGGGCTAGTGTGTCTAAGGCTGCTCGCGGCGGGCGGCGGGCGGGCCCGTCTTGGCCGTGTCCTTGCCCGTTGGGTACTCGGCGTCCCCTCCGGGGCCAGGGCCAGCGGCCGCGGAGTCACCGAGTGGGCCGTGGGCACTCCGCTTGGCGGGCGTGCTGGGGGCCTGGGCCGCCTGCCCGTTCTTCTCGTCTGAAAAAAGTTGTTTAATTACGTCAAAGAAGTTACTCAATGGGCTGCCTGGGTACACAGAACAGAGACAAAAAAAGAGAAAAGAAAGAAAAAAAGAAAAAAAAGGGAGAGAAAGAGGAAGGGAGAGGAGAGAGAAAGAACAAACAAACAAATGAACGAAGGGGCCTTGGCGAGGCAGGGAACCCAGAGATGAGGCTGCGATGGGGCGGGCGGGGACCAGCGCGCAGCAAGCGGTGGGCAGGCGGCCGCCAGCAGGGGCCGTGCGGTGTGGGGAGCTGTGTGCCGTGGGGCCAGGAGCTCACGACCCCAGCACCTTCGAGCTGTTGCCCAGGACCCGGGGCTCCTTTGGAGAAGTGAGGCTTGGGACAGGTGGTAAGACCCTCCCTCCCTCTCTCCCCCCCATTCCTCCCCACCTTGCAGCCGCGAGGGCTGGCCCACCCCAAATCCGGAGATGACAGCATCAAGACCAGGGCCTGCTGGGAGCTCTGAAGCCTCGAAGGGCCCTGGGGACAGCTGCTGGCCCCCGTACGTGAGGCCCGGTGGAAGACAGGGAGAGGGTGTGCCCGCTACACCTCCCCAGAGAGGCCTGAAGCCCGGCCCCCGACCAGCTAGGACACAGCTTGGCAGCAGACAGACAGATGGACAGATGGGTGGACAGGCATGGAGGAGGTGGGTGTGGGAGGCAGGCTGGGCGGCTGGAGACAGGCAGCTAGAGTCACGTCCCAGGTCCCTCAGATGTGGGCATTCTGGAGGAGTGGGGCGTAAGTGGAGAGCCCACCCTTCCTGGGCCCTGCACTCCCTGCCCACGTGTGCCGGTGGAGGCACCTCCACCCCACTTCCTAAGCCTGACCCACACCTGAGCCCCGAGCTGTGGGCCCCTCTGCTCCCTGCCAGGCACAGCCTCCAGTGAACAGAGGAGTGGGCACTGGCCCCTGCCCCAGACCATAGCCTGCACGTGGGACCGTCAGTGGCTTCAGGCCTTGGTTGGGGGGCCCTTCCTGGGCCTGTCCTGATCTCCTAGGGCTGGGCAGGGGTGGGTAGAGGATGGGGTCGGGGACACCTAAGCTGCTGGGCGCCTACATTTATACCAGGAAGCCGGGACAGCCAGGGCGGCGAGTGTGGGCCAGTGCGGGCTGGGGCTGAGCGGAGGGGTGGCAGGCAGAGGCGCCAGGTGAGCGTGGGGGATTCTTACCACATTTGGAAAGCCGCCCCGTCATCATTTCCATACAGTTAGTGGTGTCTGGAGCACAGAATGGAGAGAGGAGGGGAGTGAGTGAAAGGCTGCCCCCACCCTCCCTCGGGCTGGCTGGACACTGGCAGCCTCTGGCCGGGCCCTGGAAGGGGGCGGAGCCAGGAGTGGGTGGGACCCCACAGGCAGTGGTCGGGCAGACTGGGCGGGGCCAGAGCCAGAAGTAGGTGGACCCCCCTGGGGGTGGGGCCTAGAAGGGGCAGCGCCTGGAATGAGGCCGGGAACAAGTCAGAGCCACCTGGGCAGCTGAGGGTCCTCGAACAGGCCAGTGCCCTGGGTTGGTGGTTCCCTCCCAGTGTGTCCCCTGGCCGCGGCCTGTACCAGTCACTATGCTTCCTCATTGCACCACTCAGCAGCTCCAAGGCCCTCAACTCAAGGCAGGCACCCTCGTCCTTGGCCCTCTTCCCGATACTGGGCCTGGAGATGCTGGTGCTGCCAGGCCAGGACCTGGGTGGGAGCAGGGCCCTGGGAGGGCTGCTCCCTCGAGGCCCTCCCTGGCACCTGCACTGCTCTGCCTGTGCCTGCTCACCGGGGGCTTAGCCTCCCCTCTCTCAGCCAGGCTGGGGTCTCATGGAGGATGAACAGTGCCTGAGGCGGCCCCCATCTCCCTACCTACCTGCCACAGGTCCTTGGAGCTGAGCTCCCTGGACAAGAGTGTCCAATGTGTATGTCTGTGTGTGTGTGTGGGGGGGTGATGGTAGGGCTGGGCACAGCAAGATTGTCAGGACAGGGTAGGCTCCTGAAGTCCAGAGGGAGACAGATGGGGCCCAAGAGCCTCTGCAATAGGCCCCACTGAAGTCAGGGTCCAGGGCAGGCATGGACGGGCTGGGAGTTGGCTTGCGGGGAGTGGTATGTGCTGATGGGCAGGACCACACCTTGCAGGGCCAGGCTGGAGGAGCTCTGCCCATGGCCCACGCAGGAGCAGGCTGAGGTGCCCAACTGGCTGCTCAGGTGCAAGGACACCCTGGACAGCACCCCAGCGGCCGTCTCTTCACCCTCCTGGACACCCCCTGTCCGTCTCTCTGGCCTTGGTGCCTGCCCTGTTTTTCCCTGGCCTCAGTTTCCCTTCCTAAGATGGAGGCTTTCAAGGCTCAGAGAGCCAGAGGCTGCTGCTGGCCAACAGCACAGCCTCCACTGTAAGGCAGCACCACGTACGCTGCAGGGCACCTGGAACCCTGCTCCTCCTTGCCCACCGTGCCAACACGGCTCCCAAGGTCAGCAGAAGGGGCCACTGCTCCACCCACTGGGGCTTGGGTTACGGCCAGGGCTGTTGGGGACCTTAGCCCCCAGCCCCCAGCGGGGTGAAGCACACTCCGGGGGGGCTTCCACAGGCAATGGAATGAGGATGGAATGAGGATGGTGCGGCCCGCTCTGGCCTCCATGACCCCACACAGAAACACAGGTGACCCTAGCACACCACAGAGCTGTGCAGATGCAGGCCGGGACAGGCCCCAGGGCCCACCTGGGTGCTCCCCTTATGTGACACCCAGTGCCCCCACGCCGCGCCGCCATTCAGAGGCATGTCTGCACACCCTTGCTTACAGACCAGGCCCATGCACGGGCCCAGCATTCCGCCCTGTCCCGTCACACATGGGCCCAGTGGAGTTGGGGGAGCCTTTTCTGCTGGATGCTGGGTGGCACGGACCCTCCAGCTCTGGGCCCTGGAGGCTCCAGGATGGGGCAAGCCTCCCCTGCGCACGCCCGTGAGGCTGTGGTGGAGCCCTGGCCCTGGCTGGGATCAGGCCCCTGTGCCCTGCTGGAGGCGGGGCCCCAGGCTGTCGGGAAGAGTAGGGAAGTGAGAAGTCACGGGGCCCTCCTGGGGTGCCGAGGCAGGAGCCCTGAGGGCGGGGCCTTGTCACTGCTCTCCTGGGACCTGGCGGGCTGCCCTGTGTCTGGCTCCCTAGCAGATGGGCTGCCCGGGGCACACCTGGCCTGTCCAGGGCTGAGACCTGCGGGTGGGCATGGAAGGCCCTGCTGAGGCCCAGCCCGGCTCCGCCGATGACCTGCCCGCAGCCCCTCCCGCCCCAGCACAGGCCGGCGCCTTACCTGCCAGCGTCAGAGGCTACTCTCGTAGCTGGTGGCCACCTTCTGGCCCTTAAGCCCAGCGCCCCAGCTTAGTCCTGGCGCTGGCGGGGGGGGTTCTACGGTGGACAAGAGGCACCTTTCAGTGTGGTGCGGCTGGGCCCTAGGTCCCTGGCGTGCAGAGGCAAGGCGGTGGTCCCGCCGGGCTGGGAAGGGGCCCTGATGCCTGAGGGGTGCAGCCACAGCTTGGGGCAGGGAAGTGGGGGCGGCCGTCAGAGGGGCCAGGAGGCTGCGCCCAGGTCCTCATGCCTCCCGTCCTCGCAGTACCAGCTGGCCACGCCCCATTCACAGGCCGCAGGGTGGCCGGAGCTGAGCCCGCCTCACCTGACAAGTGCTGGGCGGAGGGTGGGTCATGTGTGCTCAGCAGCTGGGTCTGGATGGTCTCCACCACCCTCTTGAAGCGGCGGCTGGGGCCTGGGGGAGACAGGGGGTTATGCCTGCACAGGCCTGGGCCCGGGGCCGCCCCAGGGTCACCGGCTCACCTGAAAGCAGGGTGAAGGTGACAGAGTAGATGCCGTTCTCCTTCTGCGCCTCCCCGCCCTCCGTGTAGGTGATATCCACCTGGAACTTGACCGGCTTCTGGAACACGGCGGGCCCCCCCGTGGCCTTGTACTCGGCCCGGAAGCTCGTCTGGGAGATGACACTGTGGCTGAGGCTGGGGATCTGTGGAGGAGGGTAGCATGAGTTTGGCTGGCCTGGCGGGTCCCCCACCGACCCCCTGGGGAGCTGCTCTGGGGAGAGCCAGCCCTACTGTGCACAAACTGAGCACCCAGGCACCTCTGCTTCCATATCTGTGAGGGGCACAGGGCAGGTGGACTCCATTGGAGCAGGGAGGGGGCGTTCCCAGCCCCCACCCTCCAAAGCTTTGGTCTTGTCAGCAGGGGTGGCTGAGCCCGTCTTGGGCTTTTCTTAGGCAGCCACAGCACAGGACGGCCAGGACCTTATAGAGGAGCCTTAGAGGCGGAGGCGACCCCTACAGCCCAAGGTTGGGGTCCAGGGTGGGAGCCGATGGGAAGGTGGAGAGTCGGGGAGCTGCCCCTGGACAGCAGGGGCGTGGGATTGGGGCTGGGACTGTGCCCTCCTGCTGGGGCTTCCTGGGACAGCGCCTACTTCAGCTACAGTTGCCTGCTGCTTATGGGACCCAGGGGGACACAGGGCGCTTGGCACCAGCTGTGTGGGCTCTGCAGTTACCAGGGAGCATCTACAGGAAGCAGAACTTGGGGCCACCCAGGGCACGGGGTCTGGGCTGGACACAACCGCCTCAGTGGGGGCGGCAAGGGGAAACACCAGGGCCACCGTTGAGTCTGAGGTTGGCCGTGGCAACTAGGGGCGGCATGAAGGGACATGGTGTGGGGAGGAGGCCCCTGCAGGGACGCGGACATGGGGACGGGGACGCTGAGGGCCCCTGAAGCCAAGATCCAAGTGCCTGGCCCTGCCCTGCCTGTGCCCAGAGCCTTCTGTAGAGGCTCCAAGGTATCCCTACAGCGATAAGGGAAGCTCAGCTCAGCCAGAGCAACGGTGGCCTGAGTGCCCAGAGCGTCCAGTGAGGTGGAGGCCGCCCCCCCGCTAGAGAGGCCGCCGCCATGAGCCACAGCCTGATCTTGCCAAGATCCTGGGGCCAGAGAGGGCCCCTGGGGGCCATGAAAATGGGGCAGGACAGCAGCCCCAGGGGGTCAGGCTGGGGGCGGCGGGGGCGGCAGGTGGGGGAGGCAGGTGGGGGCGGCCCCTGTGATGCCTGGGCACAGCACAGAGTGGACAGGGCTGGCAGGGAAGGGGCCTCCTGGTGGGACCGGGCGCTCAAGTCCTGGCAATAACACTTCTCTATTTAAGACTTTATGGGTCCTTCTGCTCCTCTAACCTGACGCCCAGCAAAGACAAACGAAGCCAACCCAAGCCCCTGAGTGCGGCCACCCTTGTGGAGAGCCATCCAGCCTCCAAGGGCAGGGCGAGGCCTGGGGGTGTCCACTGAGGGCCCGCAGAGCCCCACGGGGTCCCTGGGGTCACAGCCTCGCAATGGCTTCTTCCCGAGTCTCATGGAGGCGTCACTCTCTGAGGCCCGCTTCACTGGAGCCTGCCTCCTGCCCCAGGTGCCAGCTGCCCAGCCCTGCCTGGCACACACCTAGGGCTGCCCGGGACCAGTGATTGAGGCCCTGCCTCCCTCCGAAGGCCAAGTGCCCCAGATGGGCAGGGACCCCTCCCTCGAGAGGGCGGGCAGGAGAGAACGCCTGTCTGGTGAAGGCAGCTGGGCAGGCCCACAGGTGAATGATGTCCGTTCTGTGTGTGTGTGGACGTGTCTTGGGTAAGGACAGACAGGCTTCTGGATTCTCTGGGGAGCTGGGTGTCGTGGGGTTGGCGGGGGCTGCCCATTCTTGCGGCGGCTGCCCGTTCTTGAGGGGGGCTCAGAGGTGTGGGGTTGGGGGGGCTGCCCGTTCTCGGGGGGGGGGGGGGGGGCGGGGGGTGGGAGGGCTGCCCGCCTGCCCTGGTGCTTGTGGCCTCACCGACAGGAAGGCGTGCACGATGTCAGCCTTGATGGAGCTCAGAGGCTTGTCTTTGATGACCACGAAGACCTGCTCCTCCTTCTCCAGGCTGATGAAGTTCCCAAACCAGGACTTCTTGGCCAGCCTGGGCAGTGGGAGACAGGCTGTGAGGACGGAGGCCTGGTGCTGTCCACACCACTGCCTCCCTCAAACCTGGGGTTGGAACGGCGGAATTCCTCAATTCCCACGCGATAGAAACAGCTCTCCACAGCGCTAGGCAGAACCCGTGGCCCTGACCCTGACCTTTATCCTGGCCCCAACACCCTAACCCTGGCCCTAACACTACCCGAATGCGCTGACCTTCACCATGGCCCTAACCTATGACCCTAATCAGGTTCCACGGCCCTAACTGGTGCCCCTTGGCTCCCTCGAGCTATGCCTGGGCAGCACACTCACTAGAGACCCCACTGGGAAGAAAAGGAGAGGGGAGTAGGGTGCCCCCTGCCCCCAGCCTTGCTTTTATGTTTCTGGCTAAGCCCTAGTCAGGTGCCCAGTGGCATCCTGGCCAAGGTGCCCAGCCTGGAGCTGGGGAAACCAGGGAGCTGTACACAGGCAGTGGCAGGACAGGTATAGTACAGATACTGGGGGCTGTGTGTCCTCCCACCAGACACCAGACAGGGCAGCCTCAGCAGATGCCGGGGTCTGTGCCCCCTCCCACTGGGCAGGGCAGCTTCGGCACCCCTGGGGCCGCCCTCCCGTGTTTAGGGCATGTGGCCATGTGGCTTCCCTGTGGCTCCAGCCTGGCAGGGCTGGTCCCCACCCTGTAGAGTAGAAGTCACTTCCAGACCTCCAGGGCTGGCTGGGGAAGGGCAGTTCCGGGCTCGCCACAGCCACGCAGACCCTGGTTCCCTAGTGCCACCACAGCGGGCGGTCCCCACCCCAGGCTGGGGCAGTCCTGCCAACCTCATGACCGGTGGGCCTGACCCACATCACTTCCTTTGCTGGACGCAGGGCCCAGTGAGAATGGCTGGCATCACCCACCTGCCCAGCCCACCCCACACTGCTCCGTACCCCGGCCCACCTTGCCAGCCTGCCACCCGCTCCCAAGCCTGGGGCTGTCCCTCCACAGACAAGCCCTCCTCACAAGGCCCCCGTGGGAAGTGGCTTGAGCAGGGCTCCTCAAGTCACCTGTGCTCCCCACCCCCAGAAGCAGGTGGGGCCTGCAACTGGCTTCCAACAGGAGCAGGAGCCGTTTCTGAGGCCACAGAAGGTTGCTCCCATCCTGCTGGCAGGCCCACCCCAACGTGCAGAGGCCTCTGCTCCGGCCCCCCCCCGACCCCCTCAACTCAGGCAGAGCGTGCTGGGCGGCCGTTGTCTGGGAGGGCTCTCCCTGGCAGCTTCCCCTGCCGCCGCTGCCTGGACGTGGGACCAGGGCTGCAGAGAGGCAGAGGCAGGCACCAGGAGGAGGCACCAGTGGGGCTGGGCTCAGGGTGCCCTCTACCGGCATCCTGGCTACACAGCTTCCCTTCCCCTTGCCAGTTTCTGGGGCTGCCTACTCCTCGGCCACTGCGGCCGTCCCTGTGAGGCCCGGGAGTCCTGCCAGACGGGCGCAGGGCCGGCTCGGCCATTGCTTAGTCTCTCAGTGCCGCCTCAGTGTCCTGCCGGCCTCAGCGGCTGGCTGTTCTGGGTTTGGAACTCCAAGGGCCAGCTCTGGCTTACCCCAGCTCTGTGCCAGGGCCTGGAGCCAGGAAGTGCACGGGGCAGCCAGGCAGTTCTAGAAACACAGACGGGGGTTCTGCATGTTCCATGTTCTGCCATGGAAGAGACGGGACACATGGTACACACATGACTCTCTGCTTTGAGGCCTGGGGGTGTGGCATTTGTCAAAAATAGTCCCAGGTGTGAAAGATGCCAGGGGGCCCAGGGAGGCTGCCCAATGAGGCGGGTGGGGCCTGCGCCATGACTCCCATGCCCACATGGTAGACGGTGCACAGCCTGGCGGGACGTGAGTCTGGGCGTTGCTGCAAAGCCATTTTTAGATGAGATGAACTTAAATCAGTCACCTGTGACACTGGCAGGGGACCCTTCCTCATGGGGTGGGCCGCATCTGCCAGGAGAAACATCCCCCACAAGGCTGGAATCTGGAAACTGCCTGGGCTTCCACCCGGGGCTTCAGACTCAAGGACGTCGGCCCTGCCTGTCCCAGACAACCACCCCTTCCTGAAGACTGTCGCCTCCCATGCGCACACAGCGCCTTGTTCTGTTCCTCTGGGGCTGGAGGCAGCTGGGACTGAGGGTTGTCTCAGGTCCCCAGCAAGCGAGTCCTGGGCAAGGAGGGGACTGTGGGAGGCGGCTGTGCTGGACCCTTGGGTGGGGCTGTGGGAGGCGGCTGTGCCGGGCCCTCGGGTGGGACTGTGGGAGGCGGCTGTGCCGGACCCTCGGGCGGGACTGCGGGAGGCGGCTGTGCCAGACCCTCGGGTGGGACTGCGGGAGGCGGCTGTGCCGGACCCTTGGGTGGGACTGTGGGAGGTGGCTGTGCCGGGACCTTTGGGATGGGACTGTGGGAGGCGGCTGTGCCGGACCCTGGGGTGGGGCTGTGGGAGGCGGCTGTGCCGGGACCTTTGGGAGGGGACTGTGGGAG